AGGTGAAGATGGTGGGACCTTCATGGTGACCTCAGCTAGTACAGGAAGTGAGTACGTGCTGCTGGTGTCACTCTGCGTCACAAACCAGCTGTCCAGCCATTTGAGCTAACCCACCCCTGACCAATGCACAATACACCTTTGAGGATGGCCTGTCCTCTCTTTGGGTACTCAGTCTGTTGATCTAGAAAACCATCTCGTACACAACCCAGGAATTTCTCCTCTATGGTATTGTTGCTGATTCGATTTGTTCAACCTATATGCAGACTGAAGTCACCCATAATAACCATAAGAGCACAAGACAGAGGAGCAGAATTAGGCTATTCGGCCCGCTAAGACTGCTCCACAATTTGATTGTGACTGATATGTTTCTCACACCCATTCTCCTATCTTCTCCTGTTGATCCCCTTACCAATCAAGAACCTATTTATCCCAGTCACAAGTGCACTCAATTACATGGCCCCCACAACCTTCTACGACACTGAGTTCCACAGAATCACCACCCTCTGGCTGAAGAAATTCTTCTTCTTCTCAGTTCTAAAGGGTCATCCCTTTGCTGAGAGCGGTGCCCTCAGATTCGAGTCTCTCCTGCGAGTTGAAACATCTCCATGTCCATCTATCCAGTCCTCTCAGTATTCTGTTAGTTTCAATCACAGAGTCATAGAGTCTGACAGCATGGAAGCAGACCCATTGGTCCAACCAGTCCATGCTGACCATGTTCCAAAACTAATGTAGTCCCATCTGCCTGCACATTGTCTATATCTCTCTGAACATTTCTTATTTACATATTATCCAAAAGTCTTTTAAATGTTGTAAACTGTACCTGTATCCACCACTTCCTCTGGAAGTTCATTCCACGCAGGAATCACACTCTACAAAAAAAAAGGTTGCCCCTCATGCCTTTTCTCAATCTTTCACCTGTCACCTAAAAAAATATGCCCCTAGTCTTGAAATCCCCCACCCGAGGTAAAAGACATCTGCTATTCACCTTCTCTATACTCCTCAAGGGCAGGACTTAAACAATTAATGGTAGGGCGCTGGGTAGTGTTGTACCTAGGTACCTTTGTACCTGAGATGGTGCCACAAGTGGCAACTTGTAAACTTTTCACTGTACTCCTGTGAGTACATGCGACAACAAATGTTATTCCATTTGATTAAAAATATGCTTCCCGGTCTTGAAATCCCCACACCAGAGAAAGGACACCTGAATTTCACAAACCTCTATAAGGTCAACCTCAACATGCTACATTCCTGTGAAATGAGTCCCAGCCCCTCCTTATACTCAATCCCTCCATTCTCAGCAACATCCTGGTAAACCACCTTTGAACTCTGTCCAGCTGAATAATATCATTGCTATAACAGGACAACCAGAATTGGACACAGTCCTGCAGAAGAGGCCTCACCAATGGCCTGTATGATCTCAACATGACGTCCCAACTTCTCTACACAACAGACTGAGCAATGTAGGTAAGCATACTGAACGCCTTGTCAACCACCCTGTCTGTATGTGATGCAAATTTCAAAGAATTCGGTCACTAAAGCCTCAAGTCTCTATGGTCTACAATACCCAAGGGTCTGCTTTTAATTGTATAAGTCCTGCATCCCTTGTTTGTTTTAGTACAGTACAGTACCTCACATTTATTCAAATTAAACTCCATCTACCACTCCTCAGCCCATAGACCCAATTGATTAAGATCTCTTTGAAATCTTAGATAACCTTCTTCACTGTCCACTATGCCACCAATTTTGGTGTCATCCGCAAAGTTATTAACCATGCCTTCTGTATTCTCATCAAAATCATTTATATAAATGTCAAACAAAAGTAGACCCAATACCAATCCCTGCAGAACGCCACTGGTCGTTGCTGAACACCAGGCCTCCAGTCCAAAAAACAACCCTCCACTGCCATAGCCTGTCTTCTGACATTAAGCAAATTTTTTATCCAACTGGCAAGCTCACCCTAGATCCCATGTAAGCTAACTTTAGTCTGCCTTGTGGAACCTTGTCAAGAGCTTTACTAAAGTCCAAGTAAACAATATTTACTGCTCTGCCCTCGTCGATCATCTTGGTTACTTCATCAAAATGTCAGTCAAATGTGTGAGACACTATTTCACTTGCATAAAACCATGCTGAAAATCCATAATCATTCCTTGCCTCTCCAAATGCTATCTTCCAGAATCACCTCCAACAACATATCCACCACCAAAGTCAGACTCTCATGCCTATAGTTCACCGGCTTCTCCTTACGTCCCTTAAATGAAGGCACAACATTCGCCACTCTTCAGTCATCTAGCACTTCACCCGTAGGTATAGATGATACAATATTTGTGCAAGCATCCCCAAATTTTCTCTTTAACTTTCCACAACACGATGGGATGCACTAGACAGGTTGTAAGATTTAGATTCATAGAGTAATACAGCACGCAAAAAGGCCTTTTTCCCAAACTGGTCCATGCTGGCCATTAAGCTACTTCCAACTGCTGGATTTGGTCCACCTCCCTCTCAACCCTTCCCATCCATGCACCTGTCCAAATGTATTTTAAATGCTGCTATTGTACCAGCCTCAACCACTTTCTCCGGCAGCCCATTCCATACATGCACCACTCTGTGCATGAAGAAGTTACCCCTCAGGTCCTTCTTAAATCTTTCCCCTTTCACCTTAAACCGATGACCTGGCGTTTTCAATTCCCCATCCCTGGGATAAAGCCGATATGCATTCATCCTATCTTTGCCCCTCATGATTTTAGACGCCTCAATAAAGTCACTCCCTCATTCTCCTACATTCCAAGGAATAAAGTCCTACCCTGACCAACCTGTCCCTACAATTTGGGCCTACTAGTCCTGGTAACATCCTCGTAAATCTTCTTTGCACACTTTCCAGTTTAACTATGTCTTTCCTGTGACAGCGTGACCAAAACCGTACACAGTATTCCAGTGCAGCCTCACCAATGACTTATACATCTGTAACATAATGTCCCAACACCTATACTCAATGCCTCAACCGATGAAGGCCAGCATGCTAAATGCCTTCTGCTCCACCCTTGTTTCCTGTGACACCACTTTCAATGAACTATGTACCTGTTCTCCAAGTCCCTCTGTTCCACAACAATCCTCAGGACCTTACCATTTACTGTATAAGTCCTACATTGGTTTGACTTTCCAAAGTGCAACACCTCACACTTATCTGTATTGAATTGCATTTGCCAACCCTCAGCCTACTTCCCCAACTGATTGAGATCCTTTTGTAATTTCTGATAATCTTCCCCTCTCAATACCTACTAATTTTGTATCATCCACAAACTTAGTAATCATCCCTGTATATTCACATCCAGATGATTTATGTAAATAACAAATAACAAAGGTCCCAGCACTGACCCCTGTGGCACACCACAGGCTTCACGTCTGAGAAGTAACCTTCAACCATCACCCCCTAGTGACATAGGGGGTGATGGTGTCAAAAATAGTGACAAAATCAGACAGAGTCAGCCGAGGCTTTTTCTGTGCTGTAGGTCTCTGAGACTGGATGTTGGGCATGAATTCCCTCCCAGCCACTCCCCATCCTTACTTGGAAGTATATCACTATTCTTTCAGTATTGATGGGTCAAAATCCTGAATTCCCTCCCTAACAGCCTTGTGGGTCCACTTGCAGCTCATGGAGTACAGTGGTTCACGAAAGCAGATCACTACCACCCTCTCAATGACAACGAGATGGATTAGCCAGCAATGCCCACAGGAATAAAGGAAAAAACATTATCAAGGCCAATTGGGAATGTGGAATTGAAACCTAAATAGATGAGCTTTGACCTTTTTGAGGCTCGAGGGGCATAATGGACAACTCTAGATCCTATTTCATATGTTTTCTTCTTCTTCTATCAAAATGCCTCATCTCACCAAAAATGGTGTATTCCCTGGAAATTAAAAGGATGTTAATTGAAGCTGGGTGGGGGGGATAAAATGGAACTGATCCAAGTAGGTGAAGTAGGAGCTCAAACACCCTCCTGACCCCCAGTAATCAGACAAGATTTGTGTTTCTTTGTTCTCTGGTTCATTTGAGCATATGAATGAGGAACAAGTGTCGGCCACTCGGCCCTTTGAGCCTGCTTTGAGATTCAATAAGATTAGGGCTGATCTGATTTCAACCTCAACTCTGTGTCTGCGTATCCCTGAATATCTTTCATCATCTCGGTCATCAAGAATCTGTCTGCTTCTGCCTTTTAAAAAAAAGTTTAATGATTCTTCAACCACTGCCTTTTGACAAAGGGAGTTACAAAGATTCACAACCCTCTTAGAGAAAAGAAATGTTCCTCACCATTTCAAATGGATTCACCCTTACCTTTAAACAATGACCATCAGTTCTAGATTCTCCCACAAAAGGGACCATGTTTTCAACATCCACGTGGTCGGCTCCCTTCAATATCTTTCAAATTTCAATTTAGTCTCCTCTTTCTTTTCTCGACTCCAGAGGATCCAGGCCCAGCCCGTCTACCCTTTCCCCATTAGGCACTCGACTCATTCTAGGTATTAGTCCATTAAATCTTCTTTGAAATGTTTCCAATGTGTTAACAACTTTCTATAAGTACGGTGACTAGAACTGAACACAGTACTCCAAATGCAAGTCTCACCAGTACAAAGGGGGACCGCGTGTGTCTGAAGGTGGCCCATGAATTCGCACTTGTTTACAGAAATGCTTTTCAGCAAGCTCAGGTCATTTCCATTTATCCAAGTACAAGCTGACGCAAGTTATGGTCAGACAGTTGTACGGTTTGTATTGTTATACAGACAGCGTTGTTGTGGTATCACTCAAACCTCCCACTCTGCTGGCCCTGCAGAAATAATGACTGGCTCAGTAGCCAGTTCCCACAGCCTGATTTGTCCTGTATTTTTCATCTTCTGTCCTTTCAAGGACATTCATGATCGAGGTGGGTTTTTCTAACAATCCAGAAGCTTTCATTCCACTTTTGACTGTTTTAAATTTATTTTCTAGGGAATTGGAAAGGATTTACAGACAGGCAGCTCAAGTCAAAAATTGGATCAACAGCTGCCAGTGACACTCAATTCTCGAGAGCTTTGAACGTGGAAGAAAAAAGCATCGTTCACGGTGAAGAGAAACCATACACGTGGTCTGTGTGCACAAGCCTTCGGTCAATCGTCTGGCCTGTCGATACGTAAATGCAGTCAAAACAGTATGACAACAATGACATCAAGCAGCACTTGCTTTGCAATGTCACAGTGATGGATCTCGGTTTGAGTTAGGCAAGGGCCACTCATCTCCTGATCTCCTCACATTTTTGGTGCAAACATGGACCAAACAGCTGAATTCCAAATGAGAGTGTGACTTTCCTGCCATCTTAAGGCTCTATTTGACAGAGCATTGTATCAAGGAATCATAGCAAAACTAGAGTCAACGGGATTCAGAGAATATTATTCTCGCTTTGATTGTGGGTTTTTGAAAAGATTGCATCCTCAGACCTGAGTAGATCAAAACAAGGTGAATTTATTCAAGCTTGTACCACATATTTGCGGAAGAGGTCTCCTCGTCGAGCTTGGAGATCCTCTACCATTTACAGCTCAAAACAGCATATTGAGACGTTTTCACGTCAGGTTGGTTGTATGTAACATTGGCATAAAATAAATTAGATAACAGTCATTTACGACAAAAACAGGATGCTGTTCAGTTTCTGACAAAGTCCTGAGTCCTCTCATTTCAACAGGTCTTCCATTTCCACGTTATCTTCAGAGTTTCTCTGTCCCTACCATCAGCTCACAGCACGCAAGCCTTTCTTTGTGAGTGATACTTAAGTGAGTATTTTTAGTTAGTAACTGCTGACGGTTCACTTGTAGATATGCATTTAAACTACCTGAGACGAAATAACTGTCATTACATGGTTGTATTTGACTCTGAGCCCTATGCTGTACTGTTCGTCCAAGCTTATCTCCCACTTGTTCAATGTTTTAATGCTCCACTCCTTTCCTTTTATATTTTTATTTTCCCCTTGTACACTCTCCTATCCTCCTTGCCCGACTTCACCCTAATTGGATAATACTGAATACAGAAGAAGGTGCTTGTGATTGGTTAGAGGCCAGCTATCTCAGCTTCAGAAATTCCTCAGCATCAGTTTCTGGTCCCAAGCACCTTCAGCTGTTTCATCAATGTCCTTCCCTGCGTCATAAGGTCAGAAGTGGATATGTTTGTCAATGGTTGCACAATGTTTAGCACCATTTGTGACTCAGCTACTGTAGTGGTAGATATTTAAATGCAGTGTCCCTGGACAACATTGAAGTTAGCCTGCTACGTGACAAAGAACATTTGCACCAAGTCCCAAAGATTAATGACCAAATCTGAGAAATGAAAATCTAACCATAACTCATTGACATTCAATGGTTTTATCTTCACTGAATTGCCCACTATCATCATCCTGGGGTGCTAGTAGTGATGAGAAACTGAACTGGGCGTGATATTTAAATATTGTGCCTACAAAAGTAGGTCAGAGGGAAAAGATTCTGTCGTGATTAGTTCAACTCATGACTCCCCAAAGCCTGTGCATCATTTAAGAATATCTGTCATTAAGAACACTGTCAATTTGCTTGGATGGATGCAGCTCCAATGACACCAAGAAACCTGACACCATCCACGATAATGCAGTCCACTTAACTGGTGCCCCATTCAGTACTTCCAGCATTTACTCCCTTCATTACTGAGGTACAGTGGCAGCAGAGTGCACTATCTACCAAATGCACTGCAGTTACTCACCCACTCTCCTTTCACCGCACTTTCCAAGCCTGCAAGCTCTTACCACCCTGAAGGACAAGAGCAGAGAATGCATCAAAACAACACCATCTGCAAGTTCTCCTCCAGGGTGCGTACCATCCTGACTTGGAGCAGTATCAATAATGATCTCATTGAGTGGTGCAGTGAAATTGACGGGCCAAAAAGCCTGTTTCTGCCCTGGATCTTCTATCATGATTTTAAAAAAAAAAAATAAGTTGACCAACGCAATGACCAGACTTGTGCTCAGTCTTCCAGCTGTTCTCTGAACTGGTGTTCGCGAAAGCTCTAGCATCAACTTCCTGATCTTATAGTCCAGCCTGTGGTCGAGAACAGAAAGTATCCCAAAACCCTCTTGACCATGTGATTGTCCTGTCCAACCACCTTCAGGAATTTGTGAATGTCCACTCCAAGGTGTCTTTGTTCCTCTACACCACTCAGCATCCCCACTTCCATTGTTCACTCTCCCTGAATGCATTATGAATCTCTTTGGATTGAATTCCATTCATCATTCTTTTCTTTCCACCTGATTGCTATCTCCCTGCAGTCCCAGGCTTTGTTCCTTATGGTTCACTACATCACGCATTGTTGCGTGTTGTCTGCAAACTTCTAAATTATGGCCCATACAACTTGGATTTAATCATTGATCTACATCAGACAACAATGGAACTCCCCTGGAAAAATCGGAAACAAATAAAAAACAGAAATTGCTGGAAAAACTCAACAGAATTGGCGGCATCTGTGGAGAGAAATCAAAGATAACATTTCAAATCGAGGGACCCTCAGAACTCCACTGGAAAGTCATCCAGACATGGTTCATTCCTGGTCGGGGTTAACAAAAAAATCTAACCTCTACTGTCGTATGTGAATTTGTTGATGTCTCCAGAGGTTGTTTCTCTGAGTTATCTGTTCCCACACATGGCATTCCTGATCGGCATCTCCCCAGTGTCACTGAGTAATTGAGTTTCCACCTCCGTGGGGAACTGAATCCTTCCTTCAGTCCCCACGTTTCCCTGGTTTCTCTGTGCTGTGGGTGTTCTTGTGTCTATCCAGGTTGGGCAATCAGGTGAATTCAAGTCCATGCAGGACCAAGGCCTGTTCTTGCCTGCTGTGAATGTGTTTTCATTCTTTCTTGTTCTCCCACGGGATGTGGGGAGCACTGGTCAGGACAGCATTTGTTGTTCATCCCGAATTCACCTTGAACTGATGTCAGAGGATAGTTTGGGGTGAACCATGTTGTTTGGGCTTGGAGTCACTTGTATGCCAGACCAGGTAAGGAACTCCCTCCCAAGGGGACATGAATGACTGGGATTTCAGGAAATTAAAATCATGGTTTTGTTTGTGAAATCAGATTTATATTCCAGATTTTATTAATTTGAGTGTAAACTCCAGCAGCTGACATGGTCAGTCCCCAGGGATTACTAGGAGATATATCACCACGACACTGCTATCTCCCTGCTGTATTGCTTCATTGGAGAGAATAACTGTCACTGTTCAGATCATCCCAGAGTGACAGAGAACAGGAGAAGGCCATTCGGACCATCATGCCAGTGTTAGTTCCATTTAAGAAAGGATTGAGTGAAGGGGAAAAGTATCAGCTGGCGTGTGTTTGTAATATTTACAGTGTGTGTCCATGCTGGAATAAATGCGGTTTACTGCAGATCGAATTGTTGACTGGGAGCAAGAAGCTGATGCAGAGACAATGTGAGCAAAGCGAGCTTAAACACTAATACTCAGGTAACAAACATCAGTTTGTCGTGTAGATAGCAGGGATGGTTTCAATCCATGACCTCTGGGTTATGGGCCCAGCATACTCCTGCTGTGCCAGTACGCTCTTATCTATCATGCAACCCACAACTGAAATAGATTGTAACTTCCTTCTTGCTTTTGAATAGGAGCACACTTGGTGGCACGCCTTCCTGCTTGTACAATTCCAATATGTCACGCCAACCAGAATGTGACAGACAGAAACAGACACACACACACACACACACACTCAAACAGAAACAGCAACATATCATGAACATACACACAATGTCAAACGAAGGGGTTGAGCAGTCCAGCAACTCATTCAGATGGACAGACTCATGATTTTCCTGAACTTTTGGTGAAGGCTAATCCAGCAGTTACATTCATCATTCTAAAAAATTCTGAAGAAGTGTCTCTGAACCGGAAATATGAACTCTGCTTTCACTCCATAGATGCTGTCAGACTTACTGAGTTTCTCCAGAAATTTCTGTTTTTGTTACATTCCTAGTTTTTGTTTGTCTGTGGATGGTAACATTCCCCTGATCGTGTACATTGACATTTAAATTCATCTGAAGGCTATCATTCGCCATTCTGTCTTTATCATCCTGTACTCGCCCTTCTGCCTTCCAAAATGACAAAATCCTTTATGGCGACAAGCACATGAAAAATTGCCTGGTTCTGATGAAAAGGTCGTGGATATGGAATAGGAATTCTGTTTTAAAAGACACACAGACAAACATACAATGAATTTAACAGGCGGGTGCAATCTGTCGGGTGACAGAGTAATCTCTAATTTCATTGATAATTGAGACATTTCCCCGCGACAGATCATGATCCAACAAAAGAAGCTGGTCTTTTTTAACAAATTCCATGCTGACTAACATTGCTCTGTACAGCCTGATGCCCCAATAATCCCTGCTCCATGTCAATAAAAGCTGCTCTGGGTGAGGTTGGAGCTCATAGCCTCGGTGTTTCATGTGCCTCTGTCCCGTCACAGAAGGACCCTGCGCTCACCGATTGTGTCACTAGAGCCGCAGAGATAGTAGGAACTGCAGATGCTGGAGAATCTGAGATAACAAGGTGTAGAGCTGGATGCACACAGCAGGCCAAGCAGCATCAGAGGAGCAGGAAGGCTGACGTTTCCAGCCTGGACCCTTCTTCAGAAATGGGGGAGGGGAAGGGGATTCTGAAATAAATAGAGAGAGAGGGGGAGGCGGATGGAAGGTGGATAAAGGAGCAGATAGGTGGAGAGGAGATGGACAGGTCAAAGAGGCGGGAATGGAGCCAGTAAAGGTGAGTGTAGGTGGGGAGTTAGGATGGGAGTTGGTCAGTCAAGGGAAGATGAACAGGTCAAGGAGGCGGGGATGAGGCTGGTAGGTAGGAGGTGGGGATGGGGGTTTGGCCAGTGATGTGGGAGGAGCGGATAGGTGGGAGAAAAGACGGACAGGTCAAGGAGGCGGGGACGAGCTGGGCTGGTTTTGGGATGAAGTCGGTGGTAGGGAGATTTTGAAGCTTGTGAAGTCCACATTGAGACCATTGGGCTGCAGGATTCCCAAGCGAATTATGCGGTGCTGTTCCTGCAACCTTCGGGTGGCATGGTTGTGGCACTGGAGGAGGCCCAGGATGGACATGTCATCCAAGGAGTGGGAGGGGGAGTTGAAGTGGTTCACGACTGGGAGGTATAATCGTTTGTCACGAACCGAGCGTAGGTGTTCCACGAAGTGGTCTCCAAGCCTACACTTGGTTTCCCCGATGCAGAGGAGGCCACAACGGGAACAGTGGATACAATATACCACATTAGCAGATGTGCGGGTGAACATCTGTTTTATGTGGAAGGTTTTCTTGGGGCCTGGGATGGGGGTGAGTGGGGAGTGTAGGGGCAGGTGTAGCACTTCCTGCGGTTGCAGGGAAAAGTGCCAGGGCTGGTGGGGCTAGTGGGGAGTGTGGAGCGGACAAGGGAGTCACGGAGAGAGCGGTCCCTCCAGAAGGCAGATAAGGGTGGGGAGGAAGAAACGTCCTTGGTAGTGGGGTCAGATTGCAGATGGCGGAAGTGGCAGAGGATGATGCGTTGAATCCAAGGTTGGTGATGTGGTACGTGGTCCTTGA